GTGGCTCAGCGGCAAAGCTGGAAATGCCGGTGCCGGCAGCTCAGGTGGGGCACGGAGCTCCGCTCCGGAGGCGGACTGACCTCGGCAGTTTAGTTTAGTAGACGGAGCAAACCCCAGATAGCAGGGAGATGTGGGGATGAAAGCTGGAAGTGATGGAGAATCATGCTTCCAACTGTATTAAATCTATTCTATCTGTATGCTTCACCATTAGCATCCATTAGCTATGAGGATTGTGGTTCAGGATCTGATTCTCTTCAACTTCTTGGGTCTTATATAATCACATGACCTGCAAAACAATCAACAACTCCCTCGACACATCGACATACTGAACATCGACACATGGAACTCACATCTGCGCTGGCACCAGCTGAGTTGACCCGACCGCCGCAGTGATGATGTGCTGGAAGTATGATCCGTACCTCGGAGATGGATGCCCAGTGGAGACAGCGCTGGATGAAGAGATGGAAATGCCCGGACAAGTTCACTCAGAACTGCGTGAAATTGAGGTGTTGGTTTCTGTGTTTGGAGTCTGGCTTCTACATGCTTCGATGGGTTTAGACCTGGAACTTCCAACCACCCGGAACTTGTGTCTGTTCATCCGCAAGACCAGCCAACCAAAACAACTGGATGCTCCATTTGTATGCTTCAATGGGTTGTGCAGGCAAAAGAAGGTTTGCAATGGTTTGCCCAAAGCTTTGATGGTATGCCGCGGTTACGGTCTGATCCTGGATCTTCGGCTTCTTGGACTGAAGAAGCTTGTTCGACTGAAGAACTGGTCCATGCCAGTCCCGCATGTAGAAAGCAAGCAACTTTCTACATGCAGTGAGGACTCAACGTTTGCCATTAGGGCACTAGGATAAACGATGATAAATTGGGTGGATTGTGCACTTTTCTGAAGTGAACACATCTTGCTTGCAGCCACATGCAGCGTTGTTGGTTTTACAATGTTTTGTTACTCCTGCGGTAACTGGTGTGCTCTTTTTTTTTCCACCGGATTTGTTCGAGCATATGCGGAACAACAAAATTTGGTGCACAGCCTTGAGACTCGCTCCTGCAACGAAAACAAAACCTATTTAGCCCTGAGCCTATAGCCTTCAAAAACCAATTATATAAACAAAAAACTAAATCCATGGTGGTTGGAATCCGAGGGTATTGTATATATATATATATGGTTCAAGGTGGGGCCCGACTAACACAAAGCCGTCAGATATTAGATGCTGAGGCAATCGCCAACGCAGCAGCAAAGGAGTAGCGCAAGGCTTCGGTATCCAGTCGAAGAGGAGAGTAAGCAACGTGCCTGCTCAGCCAACTGCTTCGAGAAACTTTTGAGATTACACTCCGAAAAATTGAGAAGGGTTCAGTTGAAACGTTCATCTCAAAAAACACTCTGCTCATTTCAAAATCCAATTCCCATTCATGGTACCGAAGGCTGGCATGGGGCTTCATGTGGCTTCGGTAAGCAGAATCTTCAACCCTTACCGCTACAGCTCAGCCATGACAGCGTATGGCCCACATTCTCCTGCGGTACCCCAAATTGGACCCTTTCAACTGGCAGGATTGGCCGAGAAACGGCCAGGGGCTTCAAAAGTCGATGTAGGCCGTCTAAACATGCCAGTCCCATGTCAGTCTAAACATGGCATGTCCATGGAGTCGTGTCTCAAATCTGCGCATCTGGTCCGGCCCGGATGATGGGATAGCGGGGATGGATGATGCATCTCTGTGCAAGTCCCGGTGCCTGAAAAGTGTGCGGCTTCCTTCCTGTGAGGCACCGGGACGTAACCGCATCCCAAAGGACCTCGAAAAACGATCGCGCCGGTGCGAGGTGCAGCCATCAACCCAAGAAGCAAGGAGCAAACACAAGGGTGTGGGAAAAGGCTCCTGATTCATCACAACACCTGAAGCAGAAAACGCCTTTGAAAGGGTCAATTTAGAAGTCTGCCTCCTTGGCACTTTGGATGCACAAAACCACAGGCCCTCCAATGAGATGGAGGGAAATCCATCGTCCATGTCCCCTGTTCGCGTTCGTCGACGAGCGGCCCATCGAGAACTCCAAGCCCTGATCTTCCACCTCTTCCACGTGATGCCTGGACCGACTCTGGAAGGCCGAATCTGGAAGGCCGACTGCCGCATGGTGGGAAGAAAGGGACGAAAAAACGACCACCAATTAGATGCTTCGTGCTTTTTGTATATATATATACTGGAATAGGACTGCCGCCCCACAACGACCCCCCAAACCACCCCAACTGATCGGCATATATGGCAGTCCCATGGAGCGTTTGGGTATATGGCTTTCTTGTTCCGGTCGAAAGAGCTCGAGGTCGGGGAGGAGCTCCGCATTACGAGCCTTGATGCTTCCACATCACTTGGACTTGACACACCTCTGAACCCAAAATCCAGCAACGCTAAGACAAGCAACTGTGCTGCAGTGAAGCACCTGCAATATGCGACCACATTTAATGCACAAATCAAGGAGTTTTGGCCCGAAATGGATCTCTTTTCCAACGAAAACCGAGTACAGTAAACGTTTCTGCACCTCACGGCGTGGCACGCCGCGCGAAACAGATCGGTGAGACGAAGAGAGCTGCGCCTCGCAGCAGGCTGCTCTTTCCGCATGACCTGTGCGGAACAAACGCAGCGTGACTTCAATGACACGTTTTGGCACTGGTGCGATGCGTAGGCATAGGGAATAAAAGCTCCCAATAGAGATTCCTTGGATCCAGTCCCATCCATTCCCTTATTCCGAAACTAAGCATAGGTCAAAAATGGGTCCCCATAATTCGGACATCATTCCTGAGTGATTATTCAGGTCATCAGGCCAATGATTGTCTCGTTTTGTTTCCATGCAGTTGTCCAAGAATCTGATTTTTTGTTCTCTCTCTCTCTCTCTCTCCATCTCTCCCCTGAAACGCCCTCTCCGAGAGGAGAACGCCAACACGACCATCAATCGACCCTTTCCAGAAGTTGTGACACATCTTTTGGATGGACTTCACTTCACACAACTCCCTAGGGATCCAAGTACCTTCTCAGAAGGTGTTTGGACCCTCCAAACCCACCCCACCCCCACCGTATCGGAGAAGGTACGACTGGATACCTAGGGAATCAGAAGGTTCGCTCCTCCAGTCCTCGCATGTCCTCGCGTCCTTTTCACGTCGCGTCGTTCGTGCCCAAGTGGCATGTGCTCCCGAAAGGCGGAAAGCCAGCCTCAAGTTCAGGACCCAAAGCGCCCGGTCGCATGCGGTCGCCGAATCCTCAAATCGCTAGCAGCGAGCTTTTGGGTTTTCCTCTGGTTCCCCATAGGTTGTGGTTACTCAGAAATTGATTCAAACCACCAGGCCCAGGGAAAAACATATCGTGATTTCGTTGATGAGTTTTGAATTGAACGTGAATCAATTTGTCAAAGCTGATGATTCAAGTATCAACAAGTATCATCAAGTGTAACACTGCCGAAGAAATGTTGGGTTTTCAGAGTCCACACCTGGCTCAAAAGGAGCCAAAGGCCTCCAAGTGACTCTGACTCCCCCAAGATAGTCTCTGACCCCCCCTAGGTCATGGGAACAGCCTTGGTCAGATCGCGGTCACGTCTTCTCCCAAGCCACCATGAGATCGCGGTCATCAAAGCGAACCCCGCCATGGCGACATGCAATGCGCGCCAGAAGGCTTGTGCCACCTGGAGGGGAAGGACCTGAACCTCAGCGCCAACGAAACGGTTTGGCCTCTCCGTCCAGGAAACCGTCCAACACGAAACGGAGACCGTTGGCTGGTCTGGAATCAGTGCCGCTCGTGGCAGCCTCGTCATTGGATGGCCAAAGTCGTATTTGTAATGAGGAATTAATATGAATTATATAATACACCGTATATGCTTGGTGTTACTGATTAAGATCTTCTTCGAGCCTAACTCCAAGTCCCAAACCCTGAAACACCACCCTCCCTTCCAGTCGATCCCAACCACATGCGGCTTCCAACCGGCTCCCTGGGAACTTTCACCTCTTCGAGCGGAGTGGCATAGAGAGGGCTCGGCGCTGGATGCCGCGGGAAGCGTGCAGAGCTGCGCCGAACAAACGGCCGCTCAGAGCCAACCAGCACCGCGATGCGCTGTGGAACTGGAGAGGTTGGAGGACGATCGCACTCAAAGTGCGTACTCTTCGGGTGTATCTGCAGGACGCTACTAGGATGGAGGCCATCGCTACTAGTAACAAATGTTCTCCGGACACTCCATGGGACGACTTTTTAGACAGCCGATCAGGCCAGGGGTCAATGTTAAATATTCCATACATGGAGTGTCTGGGATGTGAATTACAGTTACAGGGGGTATAGATGCGTATCGGAAGTGTGTTTTCCAACACCAGCTGCTGCACCATCTCCACAAAAAAAAACATGCCAAAACCAGTCTCTCTCTCTCTCTCCGCTCCCCACAGCGCCCTGAAGGTTACTGACCTGGAGTCCGTGCCTCTGGGACCTGAAAAAACTGCACGTTCTGCAAAGCAGTCTTCCCTTCCAAAGGTGTGTACCCCCCGGGGGGGGTGACTTAGGGGACTTGCGATGTGCAATCAGTTCTCCAAACTCTTCGGTGGATGTCTTTTCGAGTAATGCTAATGCGCCAAACTATGCCTTTCGAACAAATTCCGCCTGAAAACCTGTTGGAACATCTGGCGAACACCGGATGAACATGTGGTTTATGAATTTCAATCGCGCGCATATCTTTGATCAGCGCGCACTGCAGAAGCACTGAAGGACCACAAACCCCGCGCGGTGTTCGGCGGGATCCGGGGCCACTGGCGCTAGCCAAAGACCTGCGGCCAAATAGAGATGAATGGCAGGTATCTTAAGATTTGTACAACATGAGATCATTAAACTAATGCCACATAAAAGTATGACATCGACAGTTTCTTGCTGTAAAGAATTCTGCTTTCTGAAGCTATCCAGGATGCAAAAAAGGTCGGTCAAATCCCAGCTGGTCCATATTTCTGTCCCATCGCCTCCAGCGACTCAAATAGCTCCGGTCAAAAGGAGCCCCTGCGGCCCTGGCGCCCCCCTTGCATCCCCGAGGTTGGACGCCACTTAATGTGTAATCCAGTATTCAAATGACTATTCTAATGATACGAACGCCTAAATGCGGAATGGCACCCTCCAACTTCTCAACTCGGATTTCTGGTCAGTGCTAGGTCTATGCATGTTCCCCTCATCCTAGGGTTCCCAATACCTCCTGAGAAGGTACCACCCCCCTACAGACATTCCAAACACATTTCGTGAGGCAGCTGTGGCCCCAGCATCAAAGAATAGAGTGACCAGTCTACGGGGCCAATGTAAATTGGCAACCCTCTGCCGTGTGCTGGATACAATCTACCAACTAGCATCTATCAGCTAGCACTATATTCGATGTGCATTTGCATCGCTTCAAAGTTGCTTCCTGACTAGTAAAGCACATGTGTTGGCTCTTTTGCGCATTAATCTGATCGAGGATCAAGCGAACGTGACAAGTGACAAAGTCAACATCTTAAGCCAAGCTCTCGCTGAATTGCAAACGCAAGTCTTTGCCAACTCAAGATTGGACTCGACGATATCAGATTCCTGACTGCTGATATATACAAACATGTGTATATATGTACACAGTATAGATATAGTTACTTATTTACTTGCTTTGTTGTTTGCATGTCAAATCTTGTTTTAACATGACTGGGCACTCCTTCCCGCCCCCCTCCTCCTCCTCCTCCTTGCTTCCAGAGTTGGTCGCCTGACCGGCGACAGGCGACATACTCCAAGCATCTCCAAGCAACAGCCATTTGATGGGAAGAGGTTGGAACCCTGGCCAGAGTACAATACACACGGAACCCATGCATTTCCAAGCATTGTGCATTTACTGAAGAAGTGGAGTGGCCTTTCAGCAGGGCTGGCAGGAGACATGCAATCTTCCTAGATCACTGCAAAGAGATGCAAAGCGTATCTTTGTCCTAATCTTTCTAATCATTTGGTTACTGGATGGTACTGGCTATTTCTATATGGTTCCCTATGGTCCACTATATGGTCCTTAAAGCTTTATAGATTTTATAGTCATCAGGCAAAGGACAAGGTTAAACATACAGGCGAAGCTCAAGGTTACATAACCTTGGACCCACAAACGCCACACTCTTGACCTTCAAACAAAGCTTCCAGATCGATCGCATGGACTGCGAAGCTCGCGCCTGCGACGCGCTCTTGGGCCGGCGTTTTGGGCCGGCCTGGACAAGATTGGGCCACTTGGATTGTCCCACAGATCAAGAACGACAATGTTTATGGGCAGTTTCTGGCATTGCTCGGAACATCTCGGAACCAACAACGCGCTGATCGGTGTGTTCTGATCGCTGGAGGAGTGGGTCACCACCTGTTGGTCACAAGACCTGCCGCTGTTTTCCGCATTGACATGAACATGTTGCCAGCGTTGATCCACCGGATCGACTCCCAACCTCTTTGGAAGGCACTGGCACCTGCCCGTGCGGTGCACAACCGTGCCCCGAGTCCGGGCACGGACCGACGTTCCGACCAGCCAAGGGCCCGGACCGCTCTCCACTTGGTGACTGGGATTGGCTCAAGGAACCGAAGCGAAGGAACCTGGAACAAAGTTAGATTTTTGGGGGGGAGAACATCAAAAGCAGCAAACCAGCCAACACCCGGAGTGAACGGTGACCACCCGCTCCGGGTCTTGTGAAGACCCATACCGCGTCCCAAGCGAAGGTGGCTCTGGTGGCGTGTCGACCCAGGGGGCTGTTCGACCGATGGAGCGACCCGAGACGAGATCGGAAGGTACCGGGCCCGAATGGTTCGTGACCAAAAAACAGTAGTAGCAGTAGCAGTAGCAGTGGCAGCAGTAGTAAGATGTAGTAAATATATGTAAGTATGTAGTACTTGTACCCATGTTCATCCATTTTCTGAGGTACAAAGAGGCCCCAAATATCTCCAGATAACTGTGTCTACAGGGTTCTAAAATGGATGGTCAATGCACCTCGGGTGGTCAGGGCATCCACAGAAACTGGCCCGAATGACAAGCTGCCAGCCCGGACATGCAAAGTAAACGCGACGGGCCGGGACTTAAGCAGCTGGATGTCAGCGCGGCGGAATCACGCCTTCTTCTTGGTGGCTTGGATGATTTTGTTGAAGACCTGCCTCAACCTAATGGATCAAGGCATGAGACAGGTGAAGTCACTGAATCACCCACATCACATCAACAAAAATGGAAGTGCAATACTCCTCTCAAACGCTCAAAACTGCGGGCTTCCATGATTGATGATTGATGTCCTTATAGCTCACAGGTGGTCTCACAACAGCTCCACACATCTTACAGGGGTGGCATGCCGGCCATGCTGGCCCGCATGGGGACTCCAGGCATTTCCTGCTGTGGACTCCTGTTCCAGCACATCCCGGTCACAAGAAAATCCTGCTGCACAGGCTTTGGGGTCAACTCACCAAGCCAAAGATAAACCAACCCCAGAAGCGATAAGGTTTTGGCATTCCAAAGTCTTAGAAAACAAAGAGGGGGGGGCGCTCTTTGAACAACAGTTTCATGATGCTTCATGGACTCTTTGGCACTGTGACACTGTGACTGTGACGCTCTTGTGTGCCAAGCGATGCTCTCAATGAAGACCTGGAACACACAAGTGCAACGACAGGAAAACCCAACAACATACTCTCCAATCATTCCAAGAAGCACCCTCCCTTTTCAACCCGCGATGTCACGACGCAGACCGGAAAAGATCAACCCCCATGGATCCTGCCCACTCCACGCCCCCACGCCCGACCCGCGCGCCCAGAGCCGGCCCACGCCTGGTGGCCTCTTCAATCAACGCACTGGGTTCGGCTGCGGCCAGAGCACCTGGATGCGCAACGTCACTTGGAAGGTCAAATCACTCTCAGAGTCAGGCATCCCAAAAGTTTCCCGTTGGTCAGAGCAGGCATCCCAGTTGGTCACAGGCTGCATTGGAAACAAGAGTCTTTGGAGTCTCAGAGTCAGGCATCCCATATTTGAGGTAGCCTCCCCGTTGGTCACAGCAGGCTCACAGTTGGTCACGGGCAGTGTGTGAAGTTCGATGAAAAGTGTCCAAGATGGTCCAAGCATGACGTTGTATTGGAAACAAGAGTCTTTGGAGGCGAATTCGAATGTTCGCACATATATGTGTAATTCAGAATAATTCCACATACACACTAGTCACATTCCAATACACCATACATGCACATACTAAATATATAAACATAAGTCTATCATAGTCTCTCTCCTTTCCTATATTTAACCTGGCCTTGTGGCAACAGCTTGGAAAGAATCCACATTTCTGTGATCAATGTGGTCGTTTGTGGCCCGTGGCCGCCGTGGCCCTACAGCGTGACTCACAGCGTGACTCATATGAACGAAGAAGCAGTCTGAGCTTCCGACACCAACAGGGCTTCGATGTGGCCTTGAGTGCACCAGGCAAAAACACCAACAGCTGCCACCAGCTGCACGGATATATACCTAGAACATCCTAGAGCTACAACTGCGTGCCGCTGTAGCCAAACTGAATTCATCCCGCTCGACATTTTAACTCCAATTCCGTTCTTCACAGTGCTTCACACTGGCAAACATCCGAAAATCCAAAACCTCCTTATCCAAACTGCTTAGCTGAAGGTCGCGCTCTCCTCCCTCGCGCTGACTCCTCCCTCGCGCTGACTCCTCCCTCGCGATGGCTCGGGTCTCGGACGAAAAGGACCAAAGAGGATTCCACCCGACTGGCCCAGGTGGCGAACTCCTCCAAGATCCGTTGAGCCTCTTGGACCTCCGGTGTCCGAGCAGTCGCACCCGGCATCCCCAACATGCAGGAATGGTGAACCTGAGATTTGGGGAGATCCTATGAAACAAGCTTGAAACCAAAGACATGCAACAAACACCAAGAAAAATGGCATTGGTGGAAGATGGTGGGAGGGTTGAATATGTTTGTTGTCTTCTGTCTACCTGGCTATCACAAGCTGCCACAGCTTCCTGCACTGCCACCAAATGACGAACCCACATATGCGCCAAGGGATTCGGACGGACGGATGCCTGTTCTTTCACCGTCTTGAGGATGGCCTCAGTTTCCGAAGAACTGGCATGAAACCCGTGGCTCAAGCTGGTGGTGCTTGACGTGTATGACCCTCCCAAACAGGGAAGGCACCGCAGAGCTGCCTTTGACCCGGAATCGCATCCCCAAAGCCGACTTGGAGTGACTTCGAGCAACAAAAACTTCGTTCCGTTCCACTGGACACGCTCCGAACTCGCCCCGATCTGGCCAGGTAGATGATTTTTGAAACCCAGGGGGCTAGGAATGCCTGGGAGGTCTCCCAACTTGGAATGCCTGGAAGGTCTCCCAACTTGGAACGCCTGGAAGGTCTCCCAACTTGGAATGCCTGGGAGGTCTGCCAACTTGGAACGCCTGGGAGGTCTCCCAACTTGGAACGCCTGGGAGGTCTCCCAACTTGGAACGCCTGGGAGGCCTCCCAACTTGGAACGGGTGGGAGGTCTCCCAACTTGGAACGCCTGGGAGGTCTCCCAACTTCGAACGCCTGGGAGGTCTCCCAACTTGGAATGCCTGGGAGGTCTCCCAACTTGGAATGCCTGGGAGGTCTCCCAACTTGGAACGCCTGGGAGGTCTCCCAACTTGGAATGCCTGGGAGGTCTCCCAACTTGGAACGCCTGGGAGGTCTCCCAACTTGGAATGCCTGGGAGGTCTCCCAACTTGGAATGCCTGGGAGGTCTCCCAACT